CTTATCGACGGGCTGGTCGGACCGCGAGATGGGAGGCGTTTCGTACGGAATCAGCGCGAGTCTTGCAAAGCCACAGGGGTAACCTCATAGTGCACAATCACAAAGACAATCATACACCTAGCTTGCACCGTGCGGTGGTCGAGCCACGAGTGTGCTTGGCGAAGGGATCTTGGGGTGTACTTGGACTGGACCAAAAAGACGAACATCGCAACAACATAGACTGGGACTAACTCACTAGATTGCCCACCAACGCTGAATACATGTTACACGTCAGACATCGCCATTGCCCTTCTCTGCTCGCCCATCGCGCCTTCCAACTCCAACTCTGCCTCTCCAACGCGTCGGCATGTCTTCCCCCGCTCTCGACGCGTCCTTGACATAGTCCGCAGACGAATCGCTGCCCACGCCGCCGCGTAAACGACGTGGGCTGAGGAAATCCTTCTACCCAGGGGATGAGGCGTCGTCAACGAGGAGGAGCGAGGTCAACGAGCCAATTTGTCTGGGAGGTAATTTCGATGTTGAAGAAAACTCTGCTGGCGCTTCAGACTTTGTCTTATATCCAGCGCTAATATACGGTCCCGTGACCACAGAATATTAGCCGGAAGCTTGGCGGCGGACCGCAATGTTCGCCGTACGACGTCGACAACTGCTCTCTCGACATCGCGGACCACAACGACGACAATAACTAGGACAGCCACTCAAATTTGACTATGTTGCCTTTCTATCCCGGCTCGATGCTGTTCTACTGTACCGACATATCAATATTCATCGCCAGCTCATAACGAACTTGGAGGCGTTGACTTGCCAATTCGACCCTCATACACTCCGACCCCACCAGCAACTGCTTATGCTACTGAAACACGAATGCTTGCAGACTCAATAAATATACTTACTTGACACCGTCTGCTAGGACTTGCCCTATGTTCAACGCCGTTGGGACCAGCGACGTTCGGGCCACCGGCAATTTTCCCACTGTCGGGCCACCAGAGCTTGGGAACTATATCAAGCGTCCGTTCCCTCTACCTCGCAGACATTGATGCAGTATTCTGCTGCAGTGAGCAAGTCAGCTAACAGCCTCGTGGCGTCAACGGGCTTTGTCCCGGATCTGCCGATCCCAATCGCCTTTGTCCTTCTCGCGACTATATCTCCCGCTGCTGCGGCTATCCCATACAGGTCAACCTTCTTCTACTTGCTGCTACTACCGCAGTGTTCGCTCTACACACCCAACTTCCATCTCGCCCAACTCATCTCCGATTCCTATCCTACTACATATACATTCAAAGCTCAATGCACTCCAATCTCGACTACGCGATCACCGAAGTGATCGAGTGCGGGCAGGCGCTCGACATTCCCAACGTCTTTGCAGCTTACCTCAAGCGGGTCATGGCCTGCGAACTCCCCGACGGTGCATCTATTGCAGTAACCGAAGCCATCGCACGGTCCGCGCTCGTCTCCTTCGAGCGTGCCATGGACAAGTACCCCATGGCCCCACCCCCCGCGCGCACGTCGAAGACAAAGACAAAGGCAAAGACACAGAAGCCCTCCCCGAACGCACGCTCCGACACCACCCCGTGTGCGCCAGGTGGGAAGATGTACAGCGTGGAGGTCGAGCAGCTGCGCGGGGACTACCAGAGGGCGATGTGGCGCGCAACGATGGGCTACGACGATCCCGGGTGCACATGTCTGTCGTGCGGATCCCTGCTGGCGCTGCGCGAGCGGGCGGACCTGTTGTCTGCGGAGTGCGAGGACTTGATTTCGCGGTGCGAGGAGTGGGAGCACCAGATCTCGCAGCTCGTACCTGCACCCAAGCGTCGTGCTCGTGAGTGCTTGCTGTTGTCTGCTGGGTGCAATTGTACTGATCGATTGTCATATCCGCAGGCAAGACGAAGAAGCGTGTTGCGAAGCCTCCGCGGTCCGTGCCTTTCGATCCGTACGCGCCGTCGACGAGTGCGGCGATGATCTGAGCCTGCTGCTCGCACGTTCCTCTTTGTCTGCTCGCACATGTCTTCATTTCCCCCTCCTCTTGTCGCCTCCATCCTGTATCCTCATCGTATCGTGTATCCTGCCCGTGAGTGCATCGTCACCTTCATCGCGTTGCTACCATATAACTTCGTTCGCACGTTCCTCCGTGTGTCCCGCATGTCTTCATTTTGTTCAGTCCGTCTCTTCTGGCCAAGGTGTATCTATATCTCCTCCGTCTTCTTGCAAATTTTATTTCATCCCCACAACACACACCAAGATGAGCGTGCAGGCTAAGCCGGGAGTACCTCGAAAGTCGTCGTCCACCCGGCCCGTGCCTCCCGGTGCCCATGGGCGCCCGCTGTGCAGGCGAGTGACATCACACGCTTGTCCTCGCCCATTCGCGCTCCAAGACGCACGGCGACGAGTTCTTATACTCGTCATGCCCTCATCCTCTCTTTCGCCTCTTTGCTATCTCCCTCATCCTCTAGATACCCATAACCTCCGCCGATGACCCGCCCGTCGAGCAAATCCCTCCCTGCGCTCCCGACGGCAGCGATACACGCCTCCACCTCCTCCGACGCTGTCCCGATCGACCACACGGGCACGACGCGTCGCTCGTGCGTCACGAACAACTGCATACGGACCACCGTCACCCTCCTCGTGTTCGCTGCGTACGTCGCGTGGACATGGCCATGGCACCTCGAGCACTGGGCCGATGCAACCCGCGGAAGACTTGCGCTGGACACGGAAACAGCGAGACACCGGACGCCCCCGCTGGGTGTGCCCAAGGCGCTGCAGACGAGCTGGGCGCAGTACTCCCCGTGGCATCCGCTCGATGAGTACTCTGCGCCGCCTGCGGGCTGTGAGATTAATCAGGTGAGTAATCGTGCTGGCTCGCAGGAGGCGTCGAGGAGCGGCGGGCACGAGCGGGGGAAGTTGCCCTGGGAGAATGGTTGTGTTACCAGATTTGACGCAGCAATTGCCACCACTCTGCGCAGCGGAGTCGCGACGATGAGTTGATCGTTCTGGCCGGCGTTGCTGCTGCAATCTTGGAGGGAGAGCCTTGCGGCCCTGTCTCCCGCATGCTTCCCATGTTGAGCCTCCTTCCCTTGAGCAGATGCATATACTGCACTTTTCTGCACACTTTCCAAGTGAACGTCGTCTTTGATGGACCAGTCAGACTGATCATTTCATTCCCTCCTTCAGGTCCATATCGTGAGTTGCGCGTCTCTATCAGTAACCATCCTCCCCCTCATCAAATCGACACACGACAGCTCCAGCGCCACGGCGCAAGATACCCAAACTCCGACGACGGCGAGCTGTATAGCAGGGCGGTCGAGCATATCTCTTCAGCGGAGAAGTTCTCCGACAAGCGCCTGAAATTCCTGGAGGACTACGAGTATGAACTCGGAGCGGACGACCTCGTTCCGTTCGGTGCCGCCCAGTACGTGTGTTCGTCGTGTTCGAGGAATTGTACTTACACGCCAGCAGGTCGTTCGAATCCGGAGAGATCGCGTTCAAGCGGTACGCGAACCTGGTGAGCCCGACGGAGATCCCGTACGTACGCGCGGCGGGAGCTCCGAGGGTCATTTCCACTGCGACGAACTGGACTGTCGGTGAGCCGAAATTGAGCCCCATCCGCGTACTTCCTAGACTTAACCCACACAGGCTTCGCTGCAGCAAGTCATCAGCGGTACCAGCCCTACCTGAACACCATCATATCGGAAGAGGTACCTCGTGCCTGCACATCCCCGCGATCGTTACTTACGCTCACGCAGTACAACAACACGCTCAATCAAGACTGCCCGAACGCCGAGGACGGGTCGCGCGAGATTGGCATCTGGTTGTCGATCTTCGGCCCGCCCATCGCTGCACGGCTGAACAAGGCTGCCCCCGGTGCCAAGCTGAACGAGACGCACGTGTTCCACCTGCTGGCGATGTGTCCGTTCGAGTCGGTCGCAAAGGAGACGATGAGCCCGTTCTGCGCCATGTTCAAGGAGGAGGACTTCCACGCGTTCGAGTACTACGGAGACCTCGAGAAGTACTACAAGACCGGGTACGTGTGGTGCTCGTCCCAACGTTACAGCTAACTGACATTGACGACGACAGGCACGGGAACCCGCTCGGGGCGATCCAGGGCGTGGGCTACGTGAACGAGCTGCTGGCGCGTCTGACGGACGAGCCCGTGCAAGACCACACCACGCACAACTCGTCGCTCGAGTTCCCACTCGGCAAGAAGATCTACGCGGACTTTACGCACGAGAACCTGATGGTCGCCGTGTACGCCGCGCTCGGGCTGTTCAACGTCTCGGAGCCGCTAGACCCGCGCAACATGCCCGAGGACGCCTTCTCTGCCGAGGATGCATCCCGGTGGAACGCCCCGTTCGCGCACATGAAGGAGAGGGAGGCAAGGACGTGGGTCGCGTCGCGCATGGTGCCGTTCTCGTCGCGGATGGTCACGGAGCGCATGACGTGCGTGCGGGACGGGAAGGAGGACAAGTATGTGCGCATCCTTGTGAACGACGAGGTGCAGCCGCTCGAGTTCTGCGGGGCTGGAGAGGACAGGATGTGCAAGCTCGATGACTTTGTGAGGAGTCAGGGCTATGCGAGGAGGAGCGGTGATGGGGACTTTGAGAAGTGCTACAACTGAGTACTGAGTGCTGAGGCCTGAGGCCTGAGGGGTGAGTTGTTCGGGAGGAGGTTTCGGGTTTTCCTTTGGGTACCACGATCTAGGCTCACGCGCTCACAACTCGTATACGATTTGTTTTGTGTTCCGATCTTCTGCTGCTGCTGTCTGTTGTTTAATCTAGCTACTCTCTCGATCTCGACCTCGTGTTGTATTCGCACTACTGTTTATTGTCATCCCGTGCCAACAACGTTCTGAATTCTCTCACTGCTAGACTGGCCTGTCATCCAAATTCTGAGATGGCCAAGACAAAAGGACCCGTGTCGTATTCCCCGGTCATCAGACCGTCTGCGCATGACAGAAGGTTAACCTACATGGCCCCTAAAGACTCTAGGATATGCAGGCAAAAGGTCGTCAGCTGAGCGATTCGAACACTCGCGTGCAAAGCACAACCGCTAGTCTGGATGCTGAAGCGCTGAGACAGCATAGCAGGCGATCCCGTTAACCACTCCGGCAAGCTGACGTTGCGAGTGATGGAAACGATTGCAACATGAGACGCCACAATGCTGGCGCGTCCCGCGACGCGTGTGGTCACGGGTCATGTGCTGTCACTGTCACCCGGTTTTAGGGGCAGACGATGGTCGTCCGCAGGTCTTGACGCGACAGCCATCTACCCGGCATTCTGACACTACGATTTTTCGAATACTATCACTCTTCCGACGCTCCTTACATGATGGTAGGCATTGTCTACTCCGTGATACCAACCACTACGCAGACGGAGATTCCGGAGGGAGGAAGATAATGGATTTGGAATGAAAAAGTGAGTGCGCTATATACTACTTCAATTGCTTCAACGTCCGTCGAGCTGCAGCAAGCTGCTTGTTGACTCTTCTTGTAAACTTGGTCTAGCTGGACATACGCGCATTGACACAGTACTAATTCCACTGGACGGCATTCAGGCTCGCACTATGTATGATGGGCGACAGCGTCGCGAAGATACCTGAGGCGTGCCCCCTGATACCACGTCATGAACCACTTACAATTTTTGATAATTGAACAAATACTGAAAGCCTCCATAAGCCCTGTGCGAGCTCTAGCTGCAACTCGGATACAACGAACTACTCCATGTTTCCCCAAGTCCGTACGTAATCGCTTGCCGTCGCAGTCGAAATTTGGCTGATTCTGCAGGCCTGCTTGCTCCTGTCCTCTATCTCATCCAGTCGCACGGAGTCTGCACGATCCAAGCCGTCGCAGAGGCGTTCTGTGCCGACGCAACACGCGCGTCCGCCTTTGGAGGATGTATCAGATACTGGCTTCTCTTACGCTCTCCTTACGTCCCGCTTACCGTCTCTCACCCAGTTACCGCCAGTTACCCAGTTGCTCGTGGTCGACGACCCGCCGATACGGAGACTGTCGTGCAATCTCTCCTCCACGCCTTCTCGCCCAATTACCTCATGCAAGGCCTTCTCCGTGCGTCTCTCTATCGGATCCGCATCGCTCCTCCTCGTTCCTCCCACCTGCCTCGCCAAGGCTCAAGGCGATAGATCGCGGCTAGATTGCGTTCGCAGACGATCAGCCGGGCGAATCTGTGGATTGCGGATTGTTGCGAATGCTTACCCGCTGAATGGGAATGGTCGGCGTGATGAATGTGGTTCGGTAAGTAAGCGTCGTCCAAGCTGCTGGCTTTGTGGCCGCGGGCCCTGATGACGTGTATGGATGTCGAAGTGCGTTCCTTTCTCTCCCGTCCCTGGTTCCCCGCTATCTTGACGTATTCTCGCGTTAGGCGTCAGGCGTCAAGGTCACGACGCCGCACGCGCTCCGGGCGAAGGGAAGGCGAAACACCAGAAGTGAACGCATGAATGTGTGGGGTTCCGACGCTCAAGTGTCGCCGCTATCTGCTACAGCCTACTATTCAGCATAGGCGCTTGAGCGTATCACCGGACGACCACGACGCGCACAGAACGCGAAGCATGCGGCCTTAGGTCGAAGCTGCAAGTCAAGAGGACTGGGGGAGGATACCGAGGTCCTCCGCCACAGTAGTGCGCATTGCACGCCAAGAGTGCTGGCGGAATGCACTTACGGTCCAAAGGTGCGTTCCTTGAAAGGGGAGGTGTGTGCTTATCAACAGTGGTCCGACGGTGGCAAGGCTGGATGCCGGGAACTTCGACGATCAGTGTTCACGGCCGAACGAGCTCGTGGCGACCCGTGGCGAGGGAGACCTCGGACGAGGGAAGACAACTGCCGGAACGCAGATTGCGGCCAATGGTTATCGCAGCTTCGCTCGGGAGGGCGTACGTACTGCCAGGATGATCGGGGCGTCCGAGCACCAGCTACGTAATGCGTAGCGCTATTGCCCCATCCGCTTACCATTGGTACCACTGCACGACTCTGATCGCACGACTCGGACACGGGCAGTCTCGGGAAGCCGCGTTCACTACTTATCGCGCCAGAGGCAGCAACATGGCAGCAGTGGCAACGTCTCGCGTTATCCGACTCCGAGTCGTTATCGCGAACTCATGCTCATGGTGTCGATGCACGGCTGCATCGAGAAATTCGGTGGCCTTCCGCCGTCCGTTCTTCCACGTTCAACTTCTCTCGTGTGCAAGCGCCGGCCGTGCTTCTGCTCCCATGCGTCGATGTCCAGTTGTCCACCAATGTTCCCGAGAAGCCTGCCTGTGTGCCAGTTGCGCTGAGCCGCTCGCGACGTCGCGAGCCTCGAGGATTCAGGTGACGGCGCCTCCCGCCTCAGAGAAATCTTCACGAAGAGTCCCGAATACGAGTACACTCGAGTCCTCGAGCTGGAGAAGGTTCAGAGCAGCGGCGACACCCTGGCAGGTCTTCGCCGACCCACCGGGGGCGCCGCTCTCAAGCTCGAAGCTCGCAAGATCTCACAACATATGCCAATTATATTGCGCGGTTTGGCACTCCGCCTGCCTTCGGTCCTTCCACCATTGCATGCGTAGCTGACGCTTCTGATGGATGGCACACAGCACGAGCATCTTGCGCTACCACACGTACAGCTGCAGCTGCAGCTCGGCGCAGCATATGTATGTACAGGTACAGTGCTTGTCTCCGGCTTCGCCCGGAGCCGTTCGAGGGTGCCCAGTACGTTACGCGTTATTGGGCACCTGGTCAGTTGATCCATTGCCAAGTTTCATCTGTCCGCAGGTACCGTCCGGCGTATTCGAGGGTCCTCATCTACTCATCTACTCATCTACTCATCTGCTCATCTCATCTACGTGTACCCATTAGACGTCGATGTGGAGGTGGAGGTGTGCTTCTAGGGTGGCCATTCATGTATGTACACCCCTTCTCCCATGTCCCCGTTGGTGCGTGTTGATGGCGCGAGCGGAATTCAGCTCGTTCATACAGCTATAGCTCTGGGGGCCACATCCCGGCAGAGCGCACGCTCCCTCGACCCATGACCCCCCGCCGCGGACAAAACGGTGCCGGCACTCGCACGACGTCCCATCGTTCCCGTCGTCCCATGGTGCCATGGTGCCACCGGCCATCGTGCAAGAGGCCTCTAATAGCCGTTGCTGCTTCTCGTTCGGCACACGCCTGCTTGTTGGGTCTGCTGACCCGCGTTACGTGCCTTCTCGTGTTCAACTTGCTGGGATCCTCCTACATACTTAGTTACAGTACAGCAGAGTACAGTACTTGCAGACACTGGTGGCTGCAGTACGTCTCACTTAGCTTCGTCATCGACCCCGCTGACTGGTAGCGCCCCACCAACCAGCCGGTTTTGCGACGGGATCCAGTAGCACATCGTGATCGAGGAGGGCAAGGGTGTCATGACCAGCTCGCAGCGAGCTCGTGCGTGCTTTGGCAATGGATGATGTGGGTGACGGAAGTGGCGTCCTCTTTATTCGACAGGGGCTTGCCCAATACTTATTGGAAAGTGTGCGTGCACGTACAATGACAATAATGCAATAATGACGATTGCCATGACCACTACTTACACGGTGCGGAAGCGAACTCGGATCGGATGCGAGGAGCTCGGAGGCCTTCGGAGGACGACTGCAAGCAGAGCTATCATGCCCAAATCACTTGATTGCATTGCATTGCGGCGCGGACTATAGACAGAGGGATGCGGCTAGTCATACAGTAAACAGATGAGAGCGTACATACGGTGCAGATGGAGATAGAGACAGAGAGATAGAGAGATAGAGACAAGAAAGGAAAAGAGAGAGAGAGAAAGAGAGAAAGGAGATGCCAAGAACGAAAAACCGAGAACAGAAAAAAGCAGCAGCAGCAGCAGACAGCGACAGACAGTGACAGTACTAGGCGGATTAGCTATACGTATGCATGCGTGTCCGTGCGGCGTGGGGTGCAGAGGAGAGGAGAGGAGACCGGGAATACAGCGGGGATCAGCAGACCGGATACTGGGGTACTCAGAATGGGGCTGGAACTGGGGTGGGGGGAAGCAGTGGTAACGGGGGAGGAAGGGAGGGGTGTATGATCCGGGCAAGGCGGGGGAGGGGGTCATGGGCATCCATATTCGGAGCCCGAGTACTGGGTGGGGTGCGAGAAAGAGACGTGGACGTGGGGCGCGCCCCGCGCGCGTGGTATCTGATGTCCACGTTCGCATTCACGGTATTCGAGGGCGGGGGCGAGACGCGGTTCAGGTTCGCCGCCGCCACTGCTCTAGGGGCCAAGGCCCCGGGTGCTCGCACTCATGTGGGCACTCGACGGGCCGCGGCAGCGCGACACTGGAAGCAGTCGTCTTTGACGGTGTCGATGTCTTTCTGGATGTCCGGCCCAAAGTTCTGGGGAGAGAGACGTCTTGGGTCAGCGCGTGGTCCTTGACACTGTGCATGACGAAGGTGGACACGTGAAGCGGACTGCGAGGGGGGCGCGTGTGGGCGGAGGACGCGGACGCATGTGGCCTCGGAACGGAGCGCGCAACTAGCCCGTGGCCATATCCGCATCCGCCGACGACGTCAACGTCCCCTGCGCATGTCGTTGCGCGCCCGTGAGGTCGGAGGAGTGGGAGTAGGAGGATCGGGAAGCGCGGAATGGAAACGCGAACACGAACGCGAACTAGGGGGGAACATACCTTGATGCAAGCCGCGTCGCGGCATCCTTTTGGGTGGAGGTAGCTGCGCTCGCACTTGTGCGAGTTGCAGTCCATGATGGCGACGACGAGGTGACGCTGGAAGTGCTGTGGAGAGGGCACGCTCAGCTGACCCGCGGGTGAGGGTGAAGGCGCGAAGACTTACCCCACACTTGGACCACCGCGTCCCTTCGCTGTGCGAGTGGCAGATCCGCGGTCAGGTTCGTGTTCCATGCCCGCGCGGACGGAGGACGGGGCGCGCGATGACGGGGACGTACGCAATTCGTTGGCACATGCCTGTTCTTTGTTGTGGTTGTTGTGGTTGGTGGTGGTTGGAGGGGTATGCGAATGCGCGCGAGGGTAGGAGGATAGGGTCGTCGGGGTGCTCGACGGAGGACGGAGGACGGGGCGGATGGGTTGTGTGCTGCCTGGGGCGGGGGTGAGAGTGGTATGGGACAAGACGATGG